CTTTCCCTATCCATTGTTGTAAAATGCAACTGCTTCCTTGCTCCTCTACTTTGCTTACGATATGCCCTTTTATGTCTAAGTCATATAACCATTTGGAGCTTTGGGGTTATTTGTGTGAGATACTGGATACAGTTTACTAGACTGTTTTCTAGTTTTCCCAGAAATTATAGTCAAATAATGAATTTTTCCCTTGCCTGGGGTAACTGAACACTGTGACAGTGGGGATGGTTGGTCCCTTCTCCATGGGAGCCAATTCCTCAGATGGTGGCTGTAAGGTTTGGATTGGAAGCAGGACCAAGTGGTCTGAGAGGTGCTGCCACTCCAAGGGCTCCTGTGCTTAGCTGTTTATTGTTGGCAGTTGGTTATTACTAAAATAATCTCAGAATAAAATCTTAGAGTATTATGAAACAAATGTGGACCTGATTTTTTTTTTTTTTTTTGCTCCCTTCTCCGGTTGCCCCAGGCTGCTGGTTCTTTCTGGCTCAGATCAGTATAATCCAACTGCTTGCTCTCTCCTTCCTTGCTCTTCCTTCCTTAGAACTTCATTCTGTATACTTTATTTTCAAAGGGATTTTGGCACATTGGACTGTATTTAGAAGAGTTTGACTAGGATGATGAGGGAACTTGAAACTATTTCACATGAGAACTGATTGAATTAATTAGTTACCATTTAGTCTGTATTTGAAAAAAAAACTTATTGGGGTAAAAGATATTCAAGTATTTGGATGGTTTTCATGAGGAAGAGGAAGGAAAGAGAATCAAGCATTTATTATATACCTACAGTGTGTAAAGTATTTTACAAACATGATCGTATATAATCCTCACAACAATCTTGGAAGGTAAGTATAAGTATTAACTTACCCCCATTTTACAGTTGAGGAAACTGAGGTAGACAGAGGTTAAGTGACTTGCCTAGGGTCACACAACTAGTAAATATTTGAGGCTACATTTAAACTGTCTTCTTGACTCCAGTCCCAGTGCTCTGACCATTATGCCACCTAGCTGCCTTATTCTTCCTGGCCCCAGAGGGCAGAACTAGAAGCCATGGAAAGTGCAGAGAAGCAGTTCAACATAGGAAAAATATTTCCTAATCCTCAGAGCTGTCAAAAAGTGGAATGGGCTGCAGTTGGAGTGCAGTTCCCCTCACTGAAGGTCTTCAAGAAGAGGCTAAATGATGACTTGCTGGGGATGTTATAGTTGGAAGCATGACTCTCTTGAAAATTTATAATCTCTTAATTTTATGACTCTGCCCAGGGAGGCTTTTGTGTACATTTGTGTGTGTGTGTGTGTGTGTATGTGTTAAAGGCTGATGCTGTTTTTGCCAGAGATTTTCTTTTCTAAATTATTTGTTCTTTTATTAATATTCTTGTGAGCAGGCTTTTGGTCTGAATTTGAATCTAGTGAAAGGTATATGACAAGAACCAGCTGGATTTCTTGAACCTGTTTCTCCTCTCTATTGCTCTTTAGTATTTTTTCCTCCCATGTAATTTCATCTTACCATAGGTAGCAGCTAATATTTTTGTCTGTTGTGAAAAAATCCTTTCTAGATAAGAGTGAATCAACCTAGAATCTAAAAGCAATCATCAGTCCACTCATGTGTGGTTATCACAGTCAACGGTTGCTTGCTGCAGTGATTGAAGAGGAAACTTTCCTATACTGGAATGGAATTGGAAAACTGGGCTGGATTCAAATGTTTGAAAAAAACAACTGGTCTATTTCTCTTTCTAGAAGCAAGAATATGGGGATCAATATAAAATCATCCTTACTTTGTGGTCACGGGCTAGTAATCTCTTAGCTTCATTTTCCTCATCTGTAAAATCACAGAAGCTCAGATTTAAAGGGGTCTAAGAGTACTTTGGTTCAATCCATACCTGAACAAAAATCAAACAAGTGCCTACCATGTGCCAGGGACTGTGCTAAGTGATGGATATACAAAGACAAAAACAGAAACAATTCCTGCCTTAAAGAGGCTTATGTGCTCTCTAGGGAAACAACAAATGTAAGTAAATACAAAATACATATAAAGTAAATAAAATATAATTGGATGTTTGTTGGGGAGCTGGAGGGGTGAGGGGAATAGCTTCTGTTAGTGGTCAATCAGCCTCTGTTTGAAGAAATCCTTTGAGGGAGACATCCAATCTTCCAAGGCTACCTATTCCATTTTGGCATAGCGCTAACCTTTAGCAAGTTTTTTTTTTTCAAGCTTAAAATTGATTCTTTGTAATTTCTAGTCATTGTTTCTAGTTATGCCTTCTGGCGCCCAACAATACCAGTGGAGGTCTTCCTTTGCTGAAGAGATCTTCAAATACTTGAAGAGAGCTACTATGTCTCCCACTAAATCTTCTCTTCTCCTCCTTCCACTGATCCTCATGTGGAATTTGAAGCTCTTTACCTACTTTGAGTACCATCCTCTAGACCCCTCACTTATTAACCTCAGGATCATAGATTTGGCACTGGAAGGGATCATAGAGGTTATATAGTCCGATCTTCCCTTTCCTTTCCATTTTAGAGATGACAGACAGATTAAGTTATTTATTCAGGGTCACACAGGCGGTAAGTAGCAGAGCTGAGATTTTTTTTAACCCACGTCTGATTACAAATCCACAGTTCTTTTCCATCACTTTGTTCCTATGGAGGTAAGAAATAACTGTCTTCCTGAGTGTTTGTGGGGAAGTGCTTTGTTATCCTCAATGTGCTATGGAAATTTGAATGATTGGTTGTTGGTTTTTTTTTTTACGGTTATTATCATCTTTATTTACCCTATCTGTAGTAAGGTTGGTAAGGCAGCTAGGTGACACAGTGAATAGAGCACTGGGCTTGGAATCAGGAAGCCTCACCTTCATGAGTTCAAATGCGGCCTCAGACACTTACTAGCTGTATGACCCCAGGCAAGTTACTTAACACCGTTTGCCTTGGTTTCCTCATCTGTAAAATGAGCTGGAGAAATAAAAGGCATACTACTCCAGTACCTCTGCCAAGAAAACCCCAAATGGGTTCACAGAGTTGGACATGACTCAACAACAATAATAAGGTTGGTGTACTCTATTAGACTCTAGGAATCCTTATCCCAATCTCACTGGCAAATTGGGTCTGGAGTAGTTAGTGGTTACACATTTCCCCACTCCCAAGGTACCCTAGGGGTACCTTTAAGGGAAGTGGGGTTCTTCTAATGGTACTAGCTCAAGTTTCCATTCCGGTGCGTTCCCCCCAATATAAATCACCAGTTACAGTTAATATGTCCCCTATATCATTGATTGCTCCATTATTAGTACCACATTATCAATCTGACCAACTAAAATCAATTGGCTTTTACAAAGGGATATTCACTGAGAAGATATAGCAAGAACATGTTCTCCCAGCTTGGATCACACTCTTGTCTCTTCCATCTTTGACCCTGAGGACAGTGGGCTCAGACTTAATGTGGATTTTTCAGAGCATTTATCCCACCAAATTCACTTCTGAATGGGTTATGGCCACTGGATCAGTGGCTCCTTTGTTGAAGAACTCAGTGTCTCAGTTACCTGGTGGATCAAATCCCATAGTTCACTCATCAGGATTTTGCTAGACCCTTACTTGGTGGGTCTGCCTATAAATTCTGTGAGCTCATTGAGGGTGGGGACTATTTTTGCCTTTCTTTGTATGCCCAGCACTTAGCACAGTGCCTCACACTTAGTAAGTGCTTAATAAATACTTGTTGATTGACTTCTGGATGCTTGCTAACATTTATATAGTGCTTGCTATGTGTTAAAGTGTCCTGTTTGTTTTACAATTATTATCTCATTTGATCCTCACAGCAGCTCTGGAAGGTAAGTGTTATTGTTATCCCCATTTTATAGGTAAGAAAATTAAGCTATTTGTCCAGGGTCACATGGCTAAGAAGTGTGAGAAGCCAGATATGAACTCAGGTCTTCCTGACTCTAGGCCTGGCCCTCTATCCAATGTCATCTTTAATATTCCTTAACCTAAGAGCAAGAAGGAATAGAGGCAAGAGAGATAGAAACTATGGCAGGGCCTTATGTTTGAGGAGCCTGAAAGGGGAGAGTTGACCTCTGGTGTTCTCCCCACCCAAAGGCTTATACTTCTTATTGCCTCTCTTACCACCGGGAAAGAGAATCATTGATTGGGCTCGTTGGTACCTTTTGAATTCATACCTATTTCAAACTGAGCAGCTAATTATCAGGTTGTTGCCTTTTTCCTCCTCATCTCTCCCTCTGCTTCACTTGGGCTCTAGATAGAGTTGCCTCCCTTCTCTTTTGCCCCACTCGGACCTGGATTTGACTCATCTGGGCTTGGGCCTTCTCTTTTAAAGGGAGGCATCTTTTTGATGCCCAACTTAGGATCAGTTGAGGGCTCTTTCACTCAGGACCGTTTAATAAGGGAGGCAATGATTTGGCTCTAGGACTACATTTCACAGCCTCCACAGTCTTGGACTAAGAACTGCTGGATATGACTAAATAAAAAGAGTAAGACTTTTTGTCAGAATTGGAGAATGAGAGCTGCTGAGGCCAAGGGAAGGGGCAAGGCCAGGCTTTGGTGAGGAGAGTAGACCACCAACTAAGTGTAGCCTGAGGACAAAAGTAGGGAGAGTAGATGATCTGGTCTATGTGGTGAGGGCCATGCCTAGGGAAATAGGGGTACCTAGGTAAAATTGGGTTAAAATGAACATTAACATGAAGGATAGCCTTGATGGGGAAAAGACTTCACAAATTGGGAAAGGAACATTTCCAATTCCATGCCTTGGCCACTATGGGGTGTTTATATACTAACTATGTATTAAAAACCTCAATATATTTTAATTTTTAAATTTTAACTTAAATTGTTAATTTCTTTCTTTTTTTAGTTGTTCTTGCCTGACTGGGATCTTTTTATTAAGTTATTCCTGCACAATGCCTGGCACATAACAATGCTTGTTTCCTTCCGTCCTTTCCTCCCCACTTGGATCCTCCTCTCTCCTTGCCAAGATCAGAGTGCCTCAAGGTATTGATTAAATGAGATAACAGATGAAGATGAATTTGTCCTGGAGCTCCTGGCCGCGGTCACAGCAGCTACTGAAGCATGGACTCCAGAGACAAGAACAGTTCGGTGGTGTCTCCCACTCGGTCTTTATCCCTCTTCACTCCCTTCCTCTCTAATCCTAAATTTTCTTCTTTTAAGTCCTCCTCCTGCTACCTCCTCTCCTCCTCACCCTCGGTGAGCCAGGGAAGTCCGGGTAGTGCTTGGTTAAGTGGCAGTGAGAGTACGTGGGGAGGGCAAAGCTCCTTATAAACTTTACCTCCTGAGGCCTGGGGAGGGGGGAAGAGTGAGGGGGGGAGGGGGGAAATGGGAGGGGCAAGATGGGGAGGGGCAAGACGGGGAGGGGCAAGACGGAGTTGTGAGGTTGGTGGCTTGGGCAAGAGCCAGAAAAGCCAGAGGCAAGGACAGAATTAAAACTGAGACCCGATCCAGGGAGGTGGGGCAAGTAGAAAGAGGTCGGAGCCTAGGCTCCCTGGCGTGTGCTCAATCACTTACTGCTGCTACTGTGCTGTCCATGCTGCGGCGGACGCAGGAGCCGGGACAGCGAGTTGGGGAAGCAGAGGTCCGAATGCTGGAGAATGCCTCTCTCCACAATTGCTGTGAGTTGGCTGGATCCGGCGGCTCTTTTAGCTGGGAGGAGGAGGAGGCAGAGGTTGCAGCGGCTGGGGACTGGACACAGCCCTCCGCGCCACTCGGCCCTTTTGGGTGGACCCAGCGCTGTCCAGCGTGCTGATCGTGACCACTGTTGTAGACCTCGTGGGCAACTCGCTGGTAATCCTGTCGGTGTTAAGGAACCGCAAACTCCGGAATACAGGTAGGGGAGGTAGGCGGAGCTGTGGGCGTCTCACTCTTCCTCATTCCACCCATTCACCTGTCCTACCATTCTATACTCAAACTCCGCTCTTTAATCTGGTTCAGAAAAATATTCCCTCACTATAGCTTTTAAATCTTTCGATACTACTTTTGCTTTCTCCAAGTGTGACCCAGAACCTAAAGGTTGGGCTCAGGGCTTTGCTGTGGTCTAGTCAATCCCTACGGCATGGGAAGTCCAGCCCCTTCTATTAGTTCATCTTGATTCAACAACCAAGTTGAGAAGTTTTGTTCACTCACTTCCTGAGGCTGCTGCCCTTGAGGTGAGCTTTGGTCAAGAAGTATGTTCCATAACTGACTCCCACTTAATGCAATTCTAGGGAGTGCTATCTGCTAACAAATTTCTGAGCTTTTCCCTTGTGCTTTGAGGAAATTGGGTCTCTTTTGATTGCCAGTTGATCTGGTACCAAATAAGAAAACTTTGTTGGTCACAGAAATAGAATAAATATGCCTGAAACATATAGACTGTCTCATTGGGGATTAGAGGATTACTGGAAATATTTAAAGACAAGAGAATAATTCCCCTTCACATTTGTGAGTTTACAGTTCTGAAATTTTCTCACGTCCTAGACTTTCAAATTTTCTGTGCACAGGATTTGGAAGGAAGAAAACTGAGTGGGGGGCACACCCTGGACAATCATCTTGCTTGGTCATTAAGCTTATGTCATGGTCCTTAGCGTCACAGATTTACAGTTTGAAGGTCATCTAGTCCGCCTCCATTATGTTATAGTTTAGGAAACTGAGGCCCAGAGAGATGAGGTGCTTTGCCTAAAGCCACAAGTGTAGGGAGAGGTAGATATGGGATTTGAACCTCTGACTCTGAATTTTTCCACTTGTACTACACTGTCAAGAGAGCTGAAATATCTTTTCTTTGCAACCTTCCTCAGGATATAAGTCAAACATAAAAGTTATTAAAATAGAAAAAGGCCAGCAACAGCAAGCAGCTTATAGAGTTTAGAAATCTCGCTCAAGGGATCTATCCCATAAGGGAGACTATCTTTTAAAGTAAATGCTCTTTTCTTTGACTAGTTGGATCCAGGATCTTCATACCAGAAGAACCACAGGAAGATTTGATGTCAAGTCCTTACATGTTTACATATCCACTCAATCAACCAACAAGCATTTATTAAGCACTTATTAAGATCTAGGTACTATGTACCAGATCATCTTGAAAGTATTCTTCTTAATAGGAACTCTTAAAAAAAAAAACTCTTATGTATATAATTTAATATTACCTCAATTATTTAAAAGTTCTTTTAAGTTCTTGTGGCTATAATAGCTTTTTTGAATAAAGTATATGTTTACATTTTATTCAAAGTACCATAATAATCCCTAAAATTACATTCAAGATTTTTGCAGGAAGATTATAGCTATTTCTTTCTTTCTTTTTCTTTTTTTTTTTTTGGTTAGGCAATGGGGTTAAGTGACTTACCCAGGGTCACACAGCTAGTAAGTGTTATATGTCTGAGGCTGGATTTGAACTCGAGTCCTCTTGAATCCAGTGCCAGTGCTCTATCCACTGCTCCACCTAGCTGCCCCATATAGGTATTTCTTTTAAAGTTATAAACTAGAACCAAGGCACTAAGGCTTGAAAAACACTTTACACAGTAATGAGTCACAGTTACAGAGCACTTTAAAGTTAACAAAGTGATTTTTCTCATAACAGCCTGGCGAGGTAGATGTTGCTGTTGTTGTTGTTGCATTGTATCAGACTCTTCATGACCCCATTTGGAGTTTTCTTGGCAAAGATACCAGAGTGGTTTGCCATTTCCTTCTATAGCTCATTTACAGATGAAGAACTGAGGCAAACAGGATTAAGTGATTTGACCAGGGTCACACAACTAGAAAGTGTCCAAGGCTGGATTTGAACTCGGGGAAGATGAGTCTTCCTGACTCCACACCCAGCACTTTTTCCATTGTACCACCTAACTGCCCAAGATCAAAAGTGCAGGTATCATTATTCCCATTTTGCAGATGAGGAGACTGAGGCTCAGAGAGGTACAATGACTTCCCTTAAGGTCATATTGCTTATACATTATAGAACCTGGTTTGGTACCTAGGCTTCCCCCCCCCCCAATTAATAATATTTTATTTTTTTCCAATTATCTGTAAAAATAGTTTTCAGCATTCACTTTTATGAGATTTGAGTTGCAAATTTTTCTCCCTCCCTCTCTTTCCTTCCCTCTCCCCAGACAGCAAGCAATCTGATATAGGTTATACGTGTACAATTATATTAATCATATTTCCACATTAGTCATGTTGTGAAAGAAGAATCAGAACAAAAGGGAAAAACCACAAGAAAAGAAAAAAGCAACAAAACAAAAGAGCAAATAGTATGCTTCGATCTGCATTCAGACTCCATAGTTCTTTCTCTGGATATGGATAGCATTTTCCAGCATGAGTCTTTTGGAATTGTCTTGATCGTTGTATTGCTGAGCAGTACTAAGTCTGACCAAGTTGATCATAGCACAACGTGCTTGTTACTGTGTACAATGTTCTCCTGTTCTGCTCACTTTACTCAGCATTGGCTCATGTAAATCTTTCCAAAACCTGGGTTTTCTTGCTACAAGTCCAGTGTTCTTTTCGTTATGCTACTGTCCCCATTTTTAAATGCTTGTATTAGAAAAGAAAAATAAACAATCAGAAAACCATATTTAATAATCTTTATCTGGATTCTATGCCAAGGAACATTTAAATCATTGTCTAAGTTGAGAAGAAAGAGCAACTTTCTTCCCCTTGTTTTTACACTCTCTCCTTATGTTTAGTCCAGTGGGGTCCCCCATACTTCCAACTGTTCCCCTCCTGTTTGTGGGAAACGGTCCTGCAGAATAATAGCACATTTATGTAGTGCAAATCACTTACCCTCTGTCAGTTTCCTCATCTGTAAAATGGGGATGCTAATAATAGCAGTTTCCTCCCAGAATTGTGAGGAAAAAATGAAGTAATATTTGTGAAGTACTTTACAAATCTTAAATCACTATATAAATGCTATTTATTATCATTTCTATAAGGTTTGCAAAGCGCTTTACATATATTACCTCATTTGAGTATCTAAATAATCCTTTGAAGTCTTATTATTCCCATTTAAAGAGAAAACTGAGGCTCGGAGAAGTTGATTGATTTGCCTGGACTCATGTAACTAGTAAGTATGTGGGGCAGATTTGAATTTAGGAAGGTCTTCCTGATTCTCTGTTTGAGGTTTTATTTACCACTACCTTTCTTTTGCTTCACAACCTTTCAGACTCTGAGCTCCTTGCATTTTGGGTGCTTCTAGTGTTTGGTATGATGGAATAATACAAATGTAATTGAATTGCTGGCGTGTCATTTATTCTAATTCCTTTCCCTCTCTTGCATGTGCTACATTTAAGCAGCAGAGCAATAGTTCTCTACCCTAAGCTGTGTTTAATTCTGAAATGCTAGTGACTGCCCCTGGTCTTGTGATTTACTCAATTCTAAGTTGACTATTGTGTCCGAGTGGTGGTATTCATGAAAATCATTTGATATTAACATTTTACAAAATGATTCCCCTGAATAAGCCATTAATGAACTCCCTAAGAAAAAATCTCCAGGGCCAGATAGGTTCACAAGTGAATTCTACCAAACATCTAAGTAACAATTAATTCCAATACTATATAAATTTTTTGGTAAAATACATGGAGTCCTACCAAACTTTTATAATACAGATATTTTGCTGGTACCTACACAAGGAAGAGCTAAAACAGAGAAAGAAAATTATAGACCAATTTCCCTAATAAATATTGATGCGAAAATTTTGAACAAAATACCAGCAAGGTGATTGCAGCAGTACATCACAAGGAATACACACTATAGCCATGTGGCGTTTGTACCAGGAATGCAGGCCTGGTTCATTATTAGGAAAACTATCAGCATAATTGACCATAGATGAAAAAGCTTTTGACAAAATATAGCACCCATTCCTTTTAAAAACATGAGAGAGCATAGGAGTAAAGGAAGCATTACTTAAAATGATAAGCAGCATCTATCTAAAATCATCAGCAAGTATTATCTATAATGGGGATAAGCTAGAAGCCTTCCTAATAAGATCAGGGGTGAAGCAAGGATGCCCATTATCACCACTATTATTCAATATAATACTAGAAATGTTAACTATAGCAATAAGAGAAGAAAAAATTGAAGGAATTAGACTAGGCAATGAGGAAACAAAAGTATCAGTCTTTGCAGATGATATGATGGTATACTTAGAGAATCCTAGAGAATCAACTAAAAAACTACTTGAAATAATTGACAACTTTAGTAAAGTTGCAGGATACAAAATAAACTTGCATAAATCATCAGCATTTCTTTATATGACCAACAAGAAATTCCATTTAAAATACCTGTAAACAATATAAAATACTTGTGTCTGCCTGCCAAGACAAACCCAGAAAACAATTACAAAATACTTTTCACACAAATAAAGTTGGATCTAAACAATTAGAAAAATATCAATTGTTCATGGGTAAGCTGAGCCAGTATAATAAAATGACAATCTTAGCTAATTTAATCTATTTATTCAGTTTCATACCAGTCAAACTACTAAAAATTAAATGCAGAGCTAGAAAAAAATAACATTTTTTAAAATGTTAAATTAATCTGGAAGAACAAAAGGTCAAGAATATCAAGGGAGTTAATGAAAAAAAATAATACAAAGGAAGGTGGCCTAGCCATATCAGATGTCAAACTATATTATAAAGCAGTAATCATCAAAACTATCTGGTGCTGGCTTAGAAATAGAATGGTATGGTGCAATGGATAGAGCACCAGCCTTGAAGTCAGGAGTACCTGAGTTCAAATCCAGCCTCAGACATATAACACTTACTAGCTGTGTGACTCTGGGCAAGTCACTTACCCCATTGCCTAGGCCCCCCCCCAAAAAATAGAATGGTAGATCAGTGGAATGGATTAGGTACACAAGACACAGTA